CCTGGCCCCGCCTCCGATCCGGTCGGACCCGAGCCTCGGAAAAGCGCGATTGGGGGGGGCCGAGGGCGGCCACATCTCTAGGAGTGCGGGGGTGGCCGGTTAGAGGTGGGCGCGGAATCAGAAAGATGGCTGTATTGGCAATCCTTCCGGGCCTGGGAGGGCAGGGGTGGGGCGGCAGGCTTCAAGAAAAGGGTAATAAATTAACATTTTTTATTTCTTTGCAAACTGGGCAGTAAAGACTCCCTCCGCCTTTTGGCCTCGGGGCTAAAAATACCTATCTTTCTTTGGACCGCCTGCTGAGATTTGTTCCTCACCTCCATTCCTAAGTGGTGGCTGGGAGGATTCTTGAGGCAGGAGGGGTGCGGCTGGAGGAACCGTCTGGGAGGAAGAGTATTCACACTGCCGGCTGGGTTCTGGTCTTAGCCCACCTGTAACATGAGGCACCAGATCACTATGACTCTTACACTATCAGGGGGAAGAGGGAGAGGTGGTTTGCTCTATTGGGCAACAGAAAATATAGGTCTATTAAAACTGGTTGCACCACATTCTAGTACAAGCAACCAGCAGGTTAATTAAGTCAATGTAAAGAGGATATCTTGAAAAGGAGACTATTCAGTCCATTGCCAGTTTTTTGTGTGTGTTTAGTATTATTACTAGAGGCCTGATGCACGAATTTCATGCAAGAGTAGGCCTTCCCCCCCCCCCCCCCCCGCCCCCAACACTCCCCCACCCGGGACCCAGGCTTCCCTCACAGCCCCAGCTTCGTCCAGAAGGACGTCTGGTCTAATTAGCATATTATGCTTTTATTATAGACTAGTTTATTATAGATTATTATTATTATTATTATAGATTATGATTATTAAAGCTGCACCCTGTCTGTGACATCCTACATAGCTCAGGGACCCCCTTGGGGAACCTATCCACTCGCTCATGTCAGCAGATAATGAGTGCTAGATTGAGTGCCTGATCTGGGCCAGGCCTGTTTTGATGGTGGGGGATACAGCAATAAACAAGACTGCTGAGGCCTCTTGCTCCATAAAGCTTATTGTTAGTAGGAAAGACAAATAATTGCAAGTTGAAGTAAATGCTGGGGCAAAAGCAAGGGGCTGGGAGAGAGAATAAGAGCTACCAGTACTTTAGACGGAGCTGCCGGGGAAAGTTTCTTTGAGGAGGTGATGCTGAATTTGAAGTCAAAAGAATGAGGAGAGAGCCTTGGGAAAAGCCGGCAGAGACATTCCCGGTAGAGGTCAGTATGTGCTGAGGCCCGGAAAAAGGTAAGCTTTGGATGTGTCAAGGAGCTGAAGGAAAGTCAATGTGACTAGAATAGCCAGCCTAGGAAAGAGAATCGGGGTGATGTGGGGAGGCCGGCAGGGGCCAGGGCATACAAGACTGTGTCAAGGAATGGAGACTTGTCATTAAACCACTGAAGGGTTTTACACAGAGACTAACGTTTACCGCTGTGTGAAGAGTAAATTGGGTGGGTGGCAGGCTGAAATAAAAGGAAGGAGACAGTTAGATTGTTGTGGCCTTCCAGGCCAAAGATGATAGTGGTTTGGACTGAAGTGGTGGCCACACTATGATGATTAGTTGAGAGATGCTATTTTGGACATAGACTTGACAGGACACGTTGATAGGATGAATGTGGGGGGGGGGGGGGGGCATGGGAAAACCAAAGATAACTTCCAAGTTTCTGGCTGTAATAAATGAATGGACAGTGCCTCATTTATTGGATGGGGTAGCCTGGAGGAAAGAGACTGCATCTCAGAGAGGAACATTAAGAATTCTGTTTTCGCTCTGTTGAGTTTGAGGTGCCTGTCAGAGATCCCATTTGATTGTCCAGTCACTGGAAGCTCAGAAGAGATGCCTGGCTGGAGGTGAGACTTTGGGAGGCATCATCTTAGACAATGAAAGCCATAGGATCTGAGATCACCTAGGGCAGTGGTCGGCAAACTGCGGCTCGCGAGCCACATGCGGCTCTTTGGCCCCTTAAGTGTGGCTCTTCCACAATAGTGTGGCTCTTCCACAAAATACCGACTTCTGCGCATGGGCCACAGAGTTTCAATCGCACTGTATGTGCGCGCCCACACGTGGTATTTTGTGGAAGAGCCACACTCAAGGGTCCAAAGAGCCGCATGTGCCTCGCGAGTCGCAGTTTGCTGACCACTGACCTAGGGTGAGAAGATCCTTTATATAATAAAAGGCTAATATGCAAATCGACCGAACAGTGGAACCACCAGTCACTATGACGTGTACTGACCACCAGGGGGCAGACTCTCAATTCAGGAGCTCCCCCCTGGTGGTCAGTGCGCTCCCACAGGGGGAGCGCCACTCAATCAAAAGCCAAGTTTATAGCTGGCAAGCTCAGCAGCAGTGAGAGAAGCCTCTCCCACCTCCACAGCAGCACAAAGGATGTCCAACTGATGTCCAGGGAGCGAGCCTAAGCCATCAGTTGGACATCCCCTGAGGGCTCCCAGACTGCCAGAGAGTGCAGGCTGGGCTGAGGGGATTCCCACCCAGTGCACGAATTTCGTGCACCGGGCCTCTAGTAGATACAGAAGGGGAGAGGGTTCAAGAAGAACTCAGAGCAGTCAGACAAAGGAGCCAGAGCAGGAAAGAAGACTGAGAAAGAGAGGCTAGGGAGGCAAGAGGAGCACCAGGAGAGAGCTGTGTCCCAGAAACTGAGAAAGGAAAGTGTTTCCAGAAAGCAATGGTCAGCTGTGTTAGATGCTACTTAGAGATCAGGTAAGATGACTGACAGGGAAGGAGCCATTGACTTGCTATGTGAAAGTAATTAGTGAACATGATAAGGGCAGTGTCCCTGAAGTAGAAGGGTGGGAGCCAGACCTTGTAGAGCTATCATGTTTGCATAATTTGTCTAACAGGGAACAGGGAAGGTTCTAGAAAAGGATATGGAATCAGAAGGGTTTGGCAGAAATTGCTAAATGACCCTAATAGCCATTCTCCCTCTTTTCCTTCAGCATAGAATTTCAAATTCTAGCTGGCCACATGTCTTCCCAGAATAAAAGCAATTTTCTCGGACTCCTTTGCAGCTAGGTATGGTCATATGGCTCATTTCCAGCCAACAGGAGGTAAGTGGATGTGTCCATGTACAACTTCTGAGAACTAGCTTGAAACGGCAATGGTGTGTTTTCTTCAGCCATTGCTCTTTCCTGCTCACTGGAATAGTAAGTATGTAGCTGGGGCTCAGGTGGCCGCATTAGACTTTGAATGGAAGCCATGGTTCAGGATGTCAGTGGAACTAGTTAGTCTATATCTGGTTCCTTGTGGGTAGGGAACCAGCCTACCTGCTCTGGGCTACCTACCTCTTGACTTTGTATATAAAAGAAATTTATGTCTTGTTTAATCCTTTGTTTTCTGATGCTTATTTTTGTTAGAATACAGAGGGTTTTGTTAGAAGTGGAGATTACTAGATCAGGTTTGCAGAGGGATAGGAGAGAATGCAGGAGTGATGATTCTGAAGCAAGGGAGAAAGGAGATGAGGTGTGAGCACTAAGGGAGAGGACACCTGTGATGGAGAGGTACCTCCGCCATTATCAAGGAAGGGAGGATGGAGGCAGAGATGTCTGCAGTAAAGGTTGGGGTTGGAAAGATGATCATTCACACCTGACGATTTCTACTTACTGGTACTCCTGGATGTGAAGGAGTCGTGAGCTTAGAACAACGGTTCTCAACCTGTGGGTCGCGACCCCTTTGGCGGTCGAAAGACCCTTTCACAGGGGTCGCCTAAGACCATCCTGCATATCAGATATTTACATTACGATTCATAACAGTAGCAACATTACAGTTATGAAATAGCAACGAAAATAATTTTATGGTTGAGTCACAACATGAGGAACTGTATTTAAAGGGCCAGAAGGTTGAGAACCACTGGCTTAGAACAAGGAAGGAGAGGGGAAAGCCAATTTTGTGAATCATGAACTAGGTGATGTTGGAGGTCTTGCCAGCCTGAGAGAACTCCATTCTGGATCAGGTGGCCATACTGCCACAGGCATGAAGAGGGTGAGGGAAATGCCCAGAAAGCCAGCATGGCCTCCACCCCACTTCCAATCAGGCCTCACTTCACAGTCACTTGTGACACCTGCCTACCATTCCCAGCTGCCATATGCGACCCACTAAGCTTTACCTGACCCATTTTTACAGCACGGTGGGGGAGGGGAGACTTCAGAGAGCATCAGGGGTATTCAAAGCAGAGCAGGTCCGTTTTATTTTCCTTTATTAAAAAATGGAAGAGGAGTGAGCTATGGACAGCCCCAACTAAAAGGGCTATATTACAATGGCGACGTAGTTTCCAAGCTAGCCCCTAGAATTGTAATTGACAAGAATGTAGCTGAATTGTAGTGCAGCTTGCAAGCCTGAGGTGTGGATTATGGGAACAAAAAACAGCACAGGAAGGAGGAAAAGAAAGAAACTGAGAGGTTCTTCCATTTTTCCTGGACCTGGAGTTGGCTATAAATAAAATTTTATCTTTTTAATTTATTTTTAAATATATTTTTATTGATTTCGGAGAGGAAGGGAGAGGGAGAGAGAGATAGAAACATCAATGATTAGAGAGAATCATTGATCAGCTGCCTCCTGCACACCCAACACTGGGGATCGAGCCCGCAACCTGGGCATGTGTCCTGACCTGGATCGAACTGTGACCTCTTGGTTCATAGGTCAATGCTCAATCACTGAGCCATGCCAGCCGGACTATAAATAAAATTTTAAATGGAGGAGCTTGGCCTTTATCTTCCTCTGACTTCCTCCTTACCCTCCGTCCTGGTCCCGGTCTGGTCCCTTCCCAGTGCTGCTCTTACTCATCCTGGGCTCCACTCTGCAGCACCTCTGGCCAAGGGTGGGGGTGGGGGAGAGGAGCTTGATTAGAAGGACTTGCTGTTTACCCTCTCCTAATTCTCAGCCTCTTAATCTTAAGCAAAACACTTTACAACTTTGAGCCCTAGTTGTCTTACCTATAAAGTTAAGATAATAGTAAAACCCACCTCACAAACTTCTAGTAAGAATCAAATGAAAGAATGTTTATAAAACATCAGGTAAGCTGTAAGGAACTCTATTTGTTACCTGGGATTGATGCCTTATTAGGGCCAAACTGCCCAGGATCTTCCCATCAGTCAGAGTATTTGGACTGCAAGTAAGAAAATCCCACTCCAGCTAGCTTAGGCCAAAGGAGGGGAGATTGCTGGAAGGATACTCATGTCACTCACAGAATCAAAAGAACTTGGAACCAGAGTGACTCAGGAAACTGGGGGGCTGATCATACAGGTTACCCCGACCAGGAGCCCCTCTCTCTGTCTCTCCTAACACGCCAAGTTTGCCCCATGTAGGAGATGGGACTGAATAACTCTATCCTCTAACTTCCAAGGAAAGACTCTGATTGGTCTAACTCCGGTCATATGCCCACTCCTGCACCAATCACTGTGATGGGGAGAGGATTCCATAGCTGGACCAGGTCTGGGACACATAGGGCAACACCTATGCCAAAGAAAATAGTTGGATGTGTAGGAGCAACATAATTCCTCACAGAGACTTATCTATGTATGCCTGCTATTCCTTAAGCCCTGAGCAGTCACTGAAAGGGTTTAAGCAGACTAGTAAATTGTTCCGTTTGTGCTTTAGGACTGGAGTGAACAAGATTGGAGTAAAGAATAGTTAGGAAGGAAGTTGCAATGATTCAGGAAGTTGATGATGAGGGAATGGAAAGAGGTGAACAGATTAAAAAACCATTTAGGAGGTAGAATTGGGAAGTGACTAATTGGATAGGAAGATGAGAAATAAGGAGACATCATCGTCTGGCTGCATAGACAGTGATACTGTTCACTGGGACAAGGAATCCAGTGACCGTGTGTGTGTGTGTGTGTGTGTGTGTGTGTGTGTGTGTGTGTGTTTGGTGAGGTGTGACGGCTTGGACTTCTTCCATTTGAAGTGTCCCTGAATAGAGGAGGGAAGCCCAGTTTGCTGTTTGGAGTTCAGGAGAGACATCTAAGCAAAAGCTATAAATTTGCGATTTGTGTTTAACTCCTGTAACAGCAGCCCAACTACATTGCCTTTAGCCAAATGGTTTTTGTTGCTGTTTTCTGCTGCTATTGAAAAACTCTAACATAACAAAAAGTCTAAAGGTAAGAAAGATGCAGATCAAAACGACAATGAGATATCACCTCACACCTGTCAGAATGGCTGTCATCAACAACGCAACAAACACAGGTGCTGGTGAGGATGTGGAGAAAAGGGAACCCCAGTTACACTGCTGGTGGGAATGCAGACTGGTGCAGCCACTGTGGAAAACAGTTTGGAGTTTCCTAAAAAAATTAAAAATGGAACTGCCATTTGACCCAGTGATCCCACTTCTAGAAATATATCCTAAGAAACGAAAAACACCAATCAGAAAGGTTACATGTGCCCTAACCGGTTTGGCTCAGTGGATAGAGCATGGGCCTGCGGACTCAAGGGTCCCCGGTTCGATTCCGGTCAAGGGCATGTATCTTGGTTGCAGGCACAT